CAACACTACAAAGCCCTTCGCCAGAAAGGGCAAAGGAAAGACAGCAGAGCGATGGCTGAAACTTGGCACGCTGGTGCTAACTGGACCTTGTGAATGGAGTGAAAAAATCCAGAGCGGTGATGGGAAGGGCAAAATGAGGCCCAGCCGATGATTCATAAACACAGATATACACACTAATGAAGTGACTGGTATAATCATGTAAAGTGCAGCATGGTCAAAACTATATATGTGACCCTGGAGCACAAAACCAGTCTTAAGTAGCACGGGTATATTTGTAGCAATAGCCAACAATACATTGTATGGGTCAAAATTATTCTTTTATGCCAAAAAACATTAAGATATTAAGTAATGATCATGTTCCATCCATGAAGATATTGTGTAAATTTCCTACTGTAAATATCAAAACTTAATTTTTGATTAGTAATATGTGTTGCTAAGGACTTAATCTGGACAACTTTAAAGTCGATTTTCTCAATATTTAGATAATTGTATCTCGGCCAAATATTGTCATATTTGAACAAACCATACATCAATGGAAAGCTTATTTGTTCAGCTTTTGGATGATGTATAAATCTCAATTTCAACAAATTGACCCTTATGACTGGTTTTGTGGTCCAGGGTCACATATGTGTTTTTACTGGTTCTGTATGTATAACACTTGTATGGTTGAGCAAGCTGTAAGCTGTATTCAGTTAGAGTTGGATTAGAGGAAAACAGCAACAGAAGGCATGTGGGGAAAGAGTTCATTCCTTGGAGACATGGGAGTATCAATAACCTGATCAATACTCAACCGCTCACAGTATGTTGCACACATACACACACATTATTCCAATACAACAACTGCTGCGTGTGTCACTGCTGGATTTGCTCAAATGATAAATTACATGCTTCTTAAATAAAAATTAGAAATAAAAATTAATTATATTTCTTTCATGTGCAAAAAGAAGAAAACAAGAAAAAATTTTGCTGAAAGAAAATGAAACCTATATTAGAAATGCTATAATGTCCCCAACAAGAACTCAGTGGGAACAAATAGTTACAGAAATTTACAAGATGGAAAGACTGACATTCAGGTTGAGACTGCAAGAAGAGACATTTAAGAAACACTGGGGAAAATGGACAATCTATATATCAAAACAGAGAGAAGACAGATAAATGCCAAAGTGAAATATGTATATTCATTAATTATATACATAATATATATATATATATATATATATATATATATATATATATATATATATATATATATACATACATAATTCTTTTCTTTTGATTTTGGGTAACTTGGACATGTCTTTGTGAGATTCATCCATTTACATTCACTGTGAGAGGGCATAAATATGCTCATCCTCTCTGAGCAGAAGCCTGTAGTGCGTCAATTCAGTTGTACTGTCGTATTATCATTATAATGACAACATGGAGGTGCCATATACTTTGACTTGTAATGTCTGACTGTATGTGTTTAGGCTTAAAACCACGTAGAACAAAAGAGGATATGAGTTTCCTAGTAGCATTATAGAGATGAGTGACACCCTGAACCTGCATTTTCAAACACTAATATAAGAGTTTGAATGAATTTAAAATATAACGCAGGGGGCGGGCAACTGAAGACATATCTTCTCAGACAATAGTCCCACACTGGCTTGTAAAGATGAGCATTACGATCAATACAGTCACAGTTTGCCCTCATCCTCCCATCAAACACCATCTCTGTGATTCCTCACTCTCTGCCCTCTTACACACGCAGACCATCTGGAGTAGAAAGGACTCGGTCTCACACACTGAGCTCTACTGTCTGCTGTGCCTCAGGCTATATCACTGGGCTGATGCTCACAGCTTCGCTGTCACTTTCTGCACTGCTGGCTGCTGTGATTGCCTGCAGGGCTCTGATCCAGACAATAGATTGTCAATATTATGTTTGTCAACCAATGTGTGTCAGTGAGCTCACACAGCGCCCAGTAAGGTCAGAGTAAATTAATTAATTCCCACTCACTGACTCACTTTAGATATTTATTTGGAAGTGAAACCTTGTAGGTCACACAAAAGTGAAATCTCTTTCAATTTTGCATAATATTTTTTTTCTTTTTAACTCACAAAGAACATTTCTAGCTGATTCAGAAAAATCATACACTACCAGTCTGGGGTCAATAAGTTTTTTTTTTTCTTAATTATTTTTAAAGAAATACTTTTGTTCAGCAAGTATGAGTTAAATTGATCAAAATTGAGAGTAAATACATCATGCAAAAGATATCAATTTAATTTGAACTTTCTTTTTACCAAAGAATCATGAAAAATATATAATGGTTTCCACAAAAATATTAAGCATCACAACTGTTTTCAACATAAATAATAATAAAAAAAGTTTCTTGTGCACCAAATCAGCATATTAGATTGATTTCTGAAGGATGATGTGACACTGAAGACTGGAGTAATGGCTGCTGAAAATACAGCTTTACCACCACAGGAATAAAGTACACTGTAAAATATATTAAAATAGAAAATAGCTCATTTTAAAAGTAATAATATTTCACAATAGCAATGTTTTTCTGTATTTATGATCAAATAAATGAAACATTAGCAAGCAAGAGAAACGTCTTTCAAAAACACTTCAAAAATGTACTGACCCGAAACTTTTGAACAGTTTTATAATTTAGAGAAAAACTAGATTTCCACTTTCTACAGAAAAGTTTTACATTTGCTACAAATATTCCCATAACCTTTTAAGATTTTCTTAAGACATTAAGAAATTCCCATGACTTTTCCATGATTGAAAAATCACAATTTTACAATTCTATGATTTTTCAGGTCTTCTATGAGCACAGAAACCTTTCTCAGTCATTCATTCATTCATGTTGTCCTGTTGTATGAATACAGTCTCGTGTCCTGTGGTTTCGCTCAGCCTCAGCTGTCATAGCAAACCCATTGTGTTTGATGACCACAATCCACACTGGCCAGCTCATCAGCCATGTTCGGATCAGTTGGTAGGCAACACACTCAAACAGTCAGTTTCTAAATCTGGGATGAGCCAGTCTGTCATCGAAGACAAATCAAGTCCAGCATGTGGTCACTCATGATCAATGATCACACACACTCACACATATGCATATAATGCTCACACAAGGCTAATACACACCTGTATACCAGTGGCCAGGATTATAGCGTGTTCTCAGTGATTTGCTGGTCTGCGGCAGATTTAATGCGCAAGGTAAGCTGTTCGCGAAGCGCTCACCCAAGTGGAAAAATTTCCATTTCATCAAAAGCATGAAATGACATGCCCAGGAATGGGTGTGAAAGGACAGGTGGTGTGAATAAGCATTCATGTTCGCCAGTCAGATGACGCCAGTGAGTTCCACAAGTGTCATCGCGCATCTTAACATGACGACACAAAGATTCTGCAGTGCTGAAGACTAAAGAGGATAAATGCGTGCTCCGTCAGAGACTGATCTAGAAACAGGTAGTCGTATGTAAACTAAGCCAGCTTTTGATTTATATACAATCAAAAGCTTTGATTACTACACAAATACACTAACAACTTTTGTCAATATGCCAACAGACGGCAGGACAGGGCTTGGACGAGGTCGCCATGCCAACAGGGCAAGGGGTCTATATAAGGATGATCTGATGAGTCAGGAAAGAGCACTATGATTATGCTAATGATAAAATCTGACAGCGGTCAGCCAACTGGACCATCTGTCCATGCTGGGGCTCAGGGGGAAACACTGAAGTCAGACTGAAGCGTTCAACACTCACCCAGTGTCACAGCAGAGGAAAAACACAATGGTCTGATCACAGAGACAATCGTGCGTGTGTGTTTGTGTGTGTGAATGTGTTTGTTTGCCTGACATCACTGCCAGTCAGGGATTTCCGTAATAGCTGGTGCTTTAGAAACACTGTATTCTCTTCAGAGAAACTAGAGTCTGATGGAAAAATACATGAAAAAGTCCTCCATTGCCATCTCTTAACACTACCTAGAACATCCAACCCAAAATTTTGATATCAAATTATCTGTTAATTCTAAAGTTTTTATCACTGTTTGGGCAAAATATAGAAGAAAAAACTGTTCATCTAGAGGACAGCCTACTTGATTATAGGGAAACTACATTTAGACTAAACTAAATTACATTAACAGAAACCACATTCATTTATTAGAAAAGAAAGTGTCCTGTAAGAACAACATATGAAAAGACAATGATATGAAACTGAAGAGCAAAACGTTTATAAATAATGAACTATATCTGGCCAAACAACTATGCATTGAAAAATGGAAAACAGCTAACACACAGGGGTAATCTAATCTAAACTGACTGAACTGCACTGGGTGAGACATAGGACAGGTTAGAACGACCACAAATTTATGGATTTATGTATCAAGGTAATAATTCTGAGCAATTTACACACCTTATAATTAGAAAGCAGTACCGGTACAATGAGTAATCTCTTATTATCCACCAAACCAATATTTCAATCAAATAAAGCCTCAAACAATCCAGTACATATAATTAAAGGGATAGGTCATTGAAATTTTTTTATTCTGTCATCATTTCCTCAACGTCTTGACATTCCAAACTTGTATGACATACTTTGTCATGTTGAACACAACAGAAGGTATTTCAAAACAAAATGGGGTCCAAACAACATTGCACCCCAGTGATTTTTATTATATGAAGGGGAAAAAAACACGGAAGAAAGTCGGTCATACAGGTTTGGAATGACATGATGGTGAGTAAATGATGACAGAATTATCATTCTTGGGTGAACTATCCCCATACTAAACCATTTAGAACAACATTTCTAACAAATCATCACTAACAAATCTCAAAATCTTCTAAAACTTCTCAACTTTTCACACACTACAATACAATTACAGAGAATACAGCTACAGGGTGTTCAAACTCAATACCAGTAGCATGACAAGTGAGCCTAAGTAGTAAAAGTAAAAACAGAAAGACAGAGAACTTCAGGGGAGTTCATATTATGAGCAACTAATGACCACTCACCTTGTCAAAAAACTCGTAGAGTCGAACAGTCTTGTCAATTTTATCCTTGGTTTCCTCCACTCGCTGGGAGAAATCATGTAGATGGACCCAGAATGAGCGTATCTTCACCTCGTACACCTGCAGCTCTGCAGAAGAGACGTCTTCCCACTTCTCTAAGCGCTTAAGGAGAGCTTCACCACTCTTACAGTGTTCCTGAACACACACACACACACACACACCCATAATTACACAGTGAACTGGTATGAAAACAGAGGGTGCGACTGAGGTTACTACATTTGAACAGTTACAAACGTTCTTGAAGCTCATGTTGACATAATAAAGCAAATGTTTGACACCTGCTGTAAAATATTACCTCTCAGTTCATATAAAAACATCATAAGGCATTTGTTGAGCAAATATGGGGACTATGCAAAAAAAAGAAAGAAAAAGAAACAACATGCAGATGCTGTGGCAGGGGGTAAAAAGCGCTATGTAAAACAAGTTTAATAAGAGTTGACATACATATGCAGCTGTGTAAAATTCTCTGAAGACAGTCTGTTTATGATGTAACTGCTCAAAGGAATCTTCCAGCTCACTCAGTGTCTGCAGACGAGTCTCGCCCACTTCTTCTATCCACTGACTCACCTAAGAGACAACATATACATACAAACAGTTATTTCTGCTAGTCCAGCTGCACTCTCTTAGTTTCACCCAGAACGACACATATTTATGCTCTTTATTCTCTGTGACAGTAGACTTTGGCAGTAGACTGAAACATAAGCACACAAACACATCCTTCACATGTCTGTCATCTGATACAGATGCTATGGTGCTAGATTACACTTTCTCATGATGTGCATGAATGTGTGTGTGTGCTTGGCTAATCTGTTTCAGCAGCTTCCACTATAACCTTGCCAACAGGATTTTCCCCCCCTCTTTCTGCCTGCTGGGCACAATCATCCATTAAAACAATCAGAAGAATAAATCACCAGGTCAGTGTGTAGCTTAGTAAGGCTGTTTGTGAGTCAGTGTGCTTGTGTGTGGCACTTCAGTACAGTGTTCAGTATTTTTTATAAGTTTAAATTCACTACAAAAACACTGCTAAGAATAGGCCTTGAAGACAAAAACTGCCAAAATGGAATTCAAACGTCTCAGACTATCCATGCAAATGCTTCTATTTTGGAGTCCTTTCTAACAAAAAATAGATTTAATTTCATAATTTAAGTGAAAAGTTTAACTTAAAATGTAGATTCGTCTCAGAATTGAATTTTAACTTAGTAGAACTCTACTTAGAAGTATTTTTATAGAGGATTTTTATAATAAAGTATGAAAACAAATCAAAATGCAAATATAAGAAATGATCCCATTAAAGAACAGGTAGCATTTCCTGAGTCTCAGACACAGCTCTTATTATCATCTGTAATTAATACAGTTCATAATAGCAAGTGCAAAACTTTAGTCCTCACCTCTCTGAATCCCTCCTCCAGAGTCTTAAACTCCATTATGAATTCCAGTTCCTGTGTGCATTTGTTGGACAGCATCACCAGTCTGTGAACCAACTCGTCCACTTGGTTGTACAGACAGCCTGCACTCTCGATGGCATCTCTAAAACACACACCAACAGGATTTCTTTAGCATATTAAATGTAGTCTACATATTGTCTTGAGCTTATTTCTAATCCCCGAGAGAAACTCCAAGCGCATCTGATCTTAGAGAAAACACTGACTGCAGGACTCACATCTCATTGGCTGAGACACTCTTGTAGAACTCTCGTCTCATTGGCTAAGACAGCCTTACAGAACCATTGATTGGGCCTGGCTTTTAGAGATTTAGTGAATGTAATTAGATGTGCAAGTTGGTTTTACAGAATGGTCTGGCAATGGGAGACAGTATGGAGCAGAGCTGGAGTTTGTGTGTGTGTGTTGTATGAGAAAAGAAAAAGACTATAAATGAGAGAAACTATGTCAATGACTGTATACTGTGATACTCTACAAACAGTATGTGAGGAAATATGTATTTCTTTAAATGCATAATTGCGAAGAAATATGAGTAAAAATGCATTTTGTGTGTTATTACATATAAAATGCAGCATTGTGATACACTGACAGAACGCACTGTGCACAGCAGCAAAGGCTGACAGTATGTGAGGAAATATGTATTTCTTTAAATGCATAATTGCGAAGAAATATGAGTAAAAATGCATTTTGTGTGTTAAAAATGCAGCATTGTGATACACACTGACAGAACGCACTGTGCACAGCAGCAGAGGCTGATATATCTACTGAATGACTTCATCACTGCTGTAGTTCACTCACATAATACTGTATTGTGCTCTAGTCAAACATTTATACAACATTTCCCCTCAACAATATGCCAACTAACTCAGTCAAAGAGTGATCCACTCTCTGATCCAAACATAACACCAATGTCAATATTAGAATATAGAACTCTTTTTGAAGAATGCCACATTCCCATCTGACTGCCAAAATACTTCAAAGCAAGTAAGACTTAGTAATGCAGACAGACATGTGGCACATGCACACCAACACAGCCATACTGAACTGTGCCCCCTGCTGTTAGATACACATAAATGCATATCCGCATGTTAAAATAAAGTTATTTTCATGGTAGTTTGTTTGACAGCCTTAGTTTCTATTCAATATCAGTGTGTGGAAAAGAGCTGCAACCGAAATGAAATCCACAGAAAAAGAAAAGTTAAAAAAGTTTGGAAAGTAAATGATTGAATTTTAATTTGGGGTGAACTTTAGGGTTTTGGTTGACGCAAGTTCAGTGTTGGAACAATCTGAGTATGATACACAATGAAAGGCAAATCAGTGACCTCAGAATCAGTCCAAAACCCACCAATTATTCACAGCACACACCCAGAGCAAACACAGGTTATCACAGCATGCAGGACATATCAAAGACATTCCAGCAAGAGAGAATGCCAAAAGAGTGAGTGAGAGAGATAAGAGTCTAAGGATGGATGGATGAAAAATCAGAGGCCTTCATTATCATTATTATAAATTAAATGTTATAGTTTCTAATAATAATTATTATTAGGCTACTTTTTTATTAGGGATGGTGACAATTACTTTGATTATTATTCTTATTACTATTAATACTATATATATATTATACAGTTTGACAAGGACTATAGAGAAGAAAAAAAGAGGAATAAGCGATAAAAGTTCCTATTTATGTATATTTGAAACAAAAATCAGCAGGTTGTAGGACCACCGGTGAGTAACAGTGTAATCATTCCAGTCAGTAAAAAAAGCAAGGAAACATTAAAAAGACTAGACTGAGAGGGATTATGTGTGAGGGAAGAAGTCTGTGTCATCAACACAGGAAAAGGCAGAAAAAAGGGCCGGATTTGTTCACTATTGTCAAGCATTTTAGACTCAGTCACACCTGTGAGATTGAGCCCTTTGTGTGTCTGTCAGCATCCAGGTGATGCGCTTGTGGGTGAGCAGCTCAGACAGCTAAGGTTTCATTTTGGCATTCGTTAGACAGCAAATGAGCAACCTGAAGAACATGCACAGCCTTTAAACTATAATTTCACCTAATATGAAAGACACAAAAGGGAAGGAGATGACAATGCCGACAATAAATCAGGTTACAGAACCAGAGAGGCTGGCTTAGATGCCTGCCCCTTGCATGTTTATTAAGTAGATGAAGATTGTGGGAAACCTAAATTCAAACCATCAATGAGCGACCCACCGGGTCTTTATCAGCAGAGACCCTCACAAACACCAAGCTCGAGTGTTTGTGTCTGAGCAGGAGGCTTTGAAAGTGAGCTTCAGTCAGCTAGTGCAGACATGCCTGTGAGTTTTATGCAAAGTCAAACAGGAAGCGGCACCAGAACTCTGCTGCATCCAAACCATACTATGTTATCAGAGACAGACATATGCACATACTGGTGTCTGTTTAGCTCTGAGATTATGTGTGTATGTTTCAGGATGAATGATTGTGTGCAGATAAAGACATTTCTCTTGGCCCAGCTGTGGGAAATAACATTCACACTCCCTCAACCTCGAGCTGAACCCAGCCCTGATCATCAGAGGTCTGAACATGCTCTCCCACGCTCTCAACACTTTTTTTTGTCTCTCATTATCCCTCTCTTGTTTGTTATTCTCATGTCTCTTATAATTGTACAATTTAGTTCCGAAACCTAGTGAACCTATTTAGGCTGCATCGTTACTGGTACTTCATTGGTGACTCATTTGTAATGTTCTACATAGGCAGGAACTCACATGAATCAACAATTGATTTCTATATTTGAAAATCACTTTCATAATGAGTATGCATATCACATACAAACTTTATGTAAAACAGTCATTTACAGTCACTCCTTTTATAAAAACCTTATTTTTTAAATAATGCTTTTGTTCTGTAAGAATGCATTAAATTAAAAAACTGAAGAAAGCTGTTTTCAATGTTGATAAGAAATGTTTCTAGAGCACAAAATCAGCATATTAGAATGATTTCCGAAGGATCATGAAACACTGAGGACAGAAGTAATGGTTAAAGAAAATTCTACTTTGCCAACACAGGAATACATTTTTTTTTTAACTGTAATACTACTTTACAATATTACTGTTTTTTATTGTATTTCTGATCAAATAAATGCAGCATTGATGAGCATAAGAGACTCCCATACAAAATTTTGACTGGTACTTGTATAATAAGTATTCTTCTAGCATTTAATGTATATATTTTTTCAGTGAGCTTGCTAGAGTGTATTCTGGGATTGCCTTTTCTACAAAGGACATATCATGCTGCCTTTGACCAAAACATGTTGCCTGTTGACAGCATAATTAAATTGCTTAACTTTTGTGATGTGTGCAGTAGGTTAAAGGTGTTGTCTGGATGATATTTTCTCACCTGTAGTCCTCTGTCAGACTGACACTGGTCTCCTCTTTTCGCAAACGGGACAGAGCGGCTCCTCCCTCCAGCTGTAGCCGCACCAACCTGCTGTCCTCCAGAACAGTCCTCATCAACTCTCTGTACTTACACAATAAGATCTGTGCCTCCTGCAAACGCACAAACACACATTCATTACTATAAAACACAGACACTCCTCTACAGCTCCACACATTCCCATACACCTTATTATTACATATACACATATTACTTATCTACTGTCCACGCTGAGTAATATCTGTCCCTTCTCCAGGACGTACACACACCCCATCATTATGTCCCTGTCTCACAAACTCCGTCAACATAGAGAGTAATACCTGCGGTTCCTGGAGCAGCACACATTACCTGTACACACTCTCACGCACACAGGCATTATTATTCATTAAATGATATCTACACCTCCTTCATCTAATACCAGCTCATGTTTGTACTCATTAAGTGATCAAATGAGCTTAAGCTACAGTACAATGTGTAATACACATAACTGCCACACCTTCGGGTGTGTGTGCGCACGTGTTTATAGTCTTTCTAAACAATATAACACTTGTCTTGCACTTTATATACTGACCCCCTTTGGCGTAGATACAGCATAATGATAGAGCAAAAGTTACCAAAATATTCTGTAGAAATGCACACAGGTGTATTTGTCAATAAGCATAAGTTGCTTATCACATAAGCATGAGTTGGCTGGTCATCTGATTTTAACACGACTGACGCGGGGTGACCCACTCTACGTAAAAAAAAACAAAAACAGGTTTTCTAGGCCACTAATATGACTGGAGTCATCCTTTGTGAGTGTACACTACCATTCAAAAGAATAAAAAATATATTTTTAAAATGTAATTTATTCCTGCGATGGCAAAGCTGAATTTTCAGCAGCTCCATTCTTCAGTGTCACATAATCCTTCAGAAATAATTTTTTAATATGCTAACTTGGTGCTTGAGAAACATTTCTTATTATTTCTTATTATCAATGTTGAAAACAGTTGTGCAGGTTAATATTCTTGTAGAAACCAAGATAAATTTTTTCAGGATTCTTTAAATGAATAGAAAGTTCAAAAGAACAGTATTTATTCGATTTTATTATAACAATTTAAACTGCGTTGTCACTTTTGATCAATTTAATGCATCCTTGCTGAATAAAGTAATAATTTATTTTAAAAAACTAAAAAAAACATAATGACTTTGAATGGTAGTGTACATGATTTTAAACATAGCCATCACAAGTATTGACTACTGATACAATTTTTTTTATCTTTTCAGGTGTAAAATGTTTAAAATGGTTCACATTACTTGGCACACATTTATGTTTTTGAAAATTCCCTGACAAATGTACTGAAACCACTTCTGAAAGTGGTTCTCGTTAGGAAACAAGGGCCATAAATTAGCAAAACGTCATCTTAATTAAAATCTAAAAAAAAGTGTTAAGTGGTGTAATACTTTTTTGGGGTGGATGAGTCAGACCACCACCCAGAAAAGCATCCATAATACCTACCCAATGATGCAGATGGTGGTCTGACCACACTACGCCAAGTCTATAAGGCGCTAACAAAAAAAGGTCATATTATACTAAATAACCTCAGGAACCTCAACTAAAGCCTTTTTAAAGTGAATTTGAAAAAGTACTCAAAGTGATAAAAAGCTCATAATTACTGTCTTATGTCTACACCCTAATTATTGTGTGTGAAGTGGGATGAAACTGTAGAGCAATTACATGAATTACAAATGTCAGTGGATGTTTCTGTGTTTTAAAGCCTATTTGCATTTTTGTTTACAGTACTGCTTTAAAACTCTTCATAGACACTGTATAATAAACTATTAAATGGATGAAAAACTGAACGTATGTTAGGTTTATGTGAAAATACAGGGAGAAAATGACTCAGACTCATAGTGAAAAGACATGGAAAAGGAAGAGGGCACATGTTCAGATTAACAGAGGGACACAGAAGAGAAAGGAGAAATGGTCAAGAGATGAGAGGACAGGCCGAGACTTGTTTTGGTCTTCTATTCATTTACCATCTAAGCATCACTTCATCCACAAGAGGGGCTGTTTTAGCATTCAGGATAAAGTCAAGCAGAAATCCATACCCTCAACCACTGCCTCGCCATTCTACTCTTCAAATAAACCCTTGGTAAGTGATTTTAAAGATGGCTGCAGATAAACACCCCTCTGGGAGATCATTATTTCTCCTGAGGCCCTGATTTTCCCCAGAAGCCTGTGGATAAAAAGGTCCTTCGTGACCTCCACTGACAGCCAGAGGTCAACTCAGTCAAAGCCTTGACACACTAACCCCAACCACACACAAACTGAAGTCTATGTTTCAAAACTAGACAGCTCTTCTAAATAGAAGTCTTTAAATCACTGTAACCGGACACTAGTGCCACTACTCTACTTCATGGAAATAGTATAGAAGTCCCTCAGACTCAGAATAGAAGATTTTAGTGCCATGATGATGCCCTCCTGGGGTAGATCACAGTGGATCACAGACAAAGTACCCACAATATATATTCCTCAAACAACAGAGCATAGCAACACCTTGGGTTCGGTACCCAGGGAATGCAAAAACTGACAAAAATGTATACCTTTAATGCAAGTCGCTTTAGATAAAAGAGTCTGCCAAAATATATGCATCCCTCTGGACAGGGCTTGGACAAAGCATTTTCTGTGAGACTGCTCAGCTGAGCTGCTTTTAGAAAAGTATTGTATTGACTGTTGCAGTACCTCTGCTGTAGGTGGCAGCACTGTAGACTCCAGTTTGCTGATGGTGTTCTGAAGCAGGTTCACAGCATCCTCACAATGGCTGGTCAGCTGCTCCAGCCTCTGAAATATAACAGAAAGAAATATAGGAACAAGAAACCATTAGAAAAAAATTCCAGATTAATAAAAAAAAAACTGTTGTCAGATGCTGTGGCTATACGAACAAGAATAGGAAATATAGGAACAAGAAACCATTAGAAAAAAATTCCAGATTAATAAAAAAAAAAAAACGTTGTCAGATATGTGGCTACACATCAAATTAATTAGCCTATATCTTAATGTTTCAAGTTAAATGTTAAATATATAAATAAGCTACTTGGCAGAGGAACTATTTATTGTGATCATTATTAATGCATTTAAACCACTGAATACTTTTATTATTTTATGGCTGCATGGCCTCTTGTGGCTTAGTTCTCATATTAAGGCTGGAATACAATATACAAAATTTAAAAAAATTTAAATACCAGACTTTCAAGTCATTCCTAACACACCAGAAAGTTGTTCCTGACTTATGCAAAACATGTGCCTCTGTTTTAGGAGGTGCATGACAAATACAGAAAACAATACGTGTTCTAAAACTGGCTAAAAATATCAAACATGTTTTATATCCTCTGACTGAGCAGATTCAGGGAACAAGACATGTAGTGTATTCCAGCCTTTAGTCATAAGAATGATGAAGATGCTGATTTTCTCACCATTCTGAAACAGATCCAGCTGCTGTGGGAATAAGGGAAAGTGCCTTCAAACTCAGTGGGGAGTTGAGCGATGTCAACATGCTTATAGAGAGACTTAAGCGATGTCAACAACTCCACCTGACAGATGCCAAAAGAACACAACAATCGTCAGGTTTAGCTTCTGCATTAAAGGGGCCATATATGGGTTGCAGTGCTATCATAAACACTTCAGATGCTACAATGGCTGTTCTAATAGCTTAGATAGATGTCTAGGCTACACTATCTGTCCAGCTGTTGTGACATTCTCAACTGAAGCACTTTCCAACGTAGCTACAAGAGTCTATCTCTGGTCAGTCCATTTTGTGTCAGGCACAAGATGCGTCTCAGTACAGACACTTGTGCTTTAAAAAAGTCATCTATTTCTCTGAGAGTGTAGACTAGCTAGCTGAAAGCCAGATTCTTGTATTTATGTTTGTATTTTCCATCCTACCAGCCCTCACCACATGTGGCACATGACACAGATGTTGTCTTCTGCTGTTATTGTTTGAGTTTTACTGTGGCTGTAAAGTCAGGGCATGTTACAGGTGATGGGTAATATTTGTGTGTTACCTGTATAGAAGTGGTTTTCTCCACACGTAGAGCCAAATCTCTGTCGGCCAGCAGCAGTACTGTATGGATGCATCCCGGCATGGCTTCCTGTAGAGATTGAATAGACAATATAGCACCATGAATTACACACATTTCACTGACTAAATCAGAGTTTCCAGTCCTACAGACCAAAAAATGCTTTTGCAGTCATTTATGATTACTGAATAAGACTTTTTAAACATAAATTTATATATATTGATATTGATACAGATGTTGTTAATACAGCTTGTATTTGTACTATTTGACTATTACTTACATTCACAACCCAAAAGAAATATAGGGTGGAGACTAGATATTCTCTTTAGTTGTTGACTGGTGGAGACAGATCTGAATGCGAGCTTGCAGTCGATTGTTGTATACAAAACGTTTGGAAAACTTTAGCATACGTCACCAGAGGAAAGTCTATCGTTTCACCGGAAGATCAAGTTACTTAGGACATTTTGATTAACAATTGTGACATTAAAAAAAATGCAAAAATTGGAAGAACTTGCACAATTGGTGGCTGACTAAATACTTTTTTTCCCCACTGTATATGAATATATTGTAAGATCAATATGATAAATAACATTTAGAAAATAGACAGGGTGAATTACTTGACCAACTTTAAACTATGTATATGCATAAATTACATCATGCAACAGAAGTTTTTAAAGGTTACATAACCTAGCACAATTTTCTGTCATGTGCCCCAAGAACCACAATAAAAGCCTTCTGTCTGTGTGAATGAAATGAGTTGTATGCCCCATAACAAAAGAGCAGAAAAACAACACTCTGTAAAAACAGACCAGAGAAGTCGTTTATGCCATTTGAGAGCTGTTTTTGTCTGTTTCCTTGCATGTCATCATGCATACTGATCATGCACACATTATCATGCCATCTTAGCCACATCTGAACAGAAGGAAGAAAAGCTTTGCTGGAACGAAACAATAGCATATTTACTAAGGAATGTTCCAGAAACATCAACAAACTCTTCAGGGCTGAGACATAATTACCGCTGATATTTACTGCCTACTTACTGATACACTGCAGTTCTCTTTTTCACTTTGCTTTTTGAGTGTATTAAAATCATGAATACATGGTGAGGTTGGATCAGGTTTCCAGTTTTCCCCTGTCATGTGGGGGCCAAAGAGTAGGAATGATAAATGTGGGGACTGTTCCAGGTTAACAAAAGCCTGGCAGAGAACAGAATATTTTGGGATTACACCTTTTTATTAGACTGATAAACTAAACTCAAACATGTGTCACAACTCCAACAACTACAAATATATCAATACTTATATACACTACTGTTTTAAAGTAAGATGTTTTTTTAAACATATATTCAACAAAGATATATTCAACTGATCAACAGCGGTGCTAATACATATTCAAATAATCACATCAGCATATTAGAATGATTTCTGAAGGATCATGTTACACTGAAGACTGGAGTAATGGCTGCTGAAAATACAGCTTTGCCATTACAGGAATAAATTGAGTATTGAAACAGAAAGAAGTTTCATATATTTAAATTATTAAAAATATATATTATTATATTATAAATTGACATAAAATATTATATAATATTATATCATAAAAATATATTATATCATATTGCTGTATTTTTGATCAAATAAATGCAGCATTGGTGAGCATAAGAAACATTTAAAAATCTTACCCACCCTGAACTTTTCAATGGTAGTGTAAACCAGGTGAAATGGGATGGCAAATTTATATTCTGGATGAATCTCCCATCCAAAATGCAAATCAAACGTTTCTTCTAACCAAACCATTACTATATTGTTGTCAAATCAGATTATAAAGCAAAAGAAAGTCAGTTCCTTGGTTGGCCATGATTCAAACGTATCTATTTGAATACAGAGGCCTGAGGGAAAAGTGCAATTGTCAGCTGAAAAGGACATCTATAATAAGACGATAGTATCAGTGGAGGAAGGAGAGCCCGTGTCTGTTCCCTGAGCTACTGCATTCATTCAGACAGATCTCATCTGTCAGTGTTAGCAGCACTGACCCTGAATACATTGAAGGGTGCTCCAACACGTGACGTTCACATAGTTTAGCAGCATATCATCAAGAATCTCAAAAACATTCAGTAAAGCCACCTTTTCCACAAGACAGCACTTGTATACTGTCCATCATGGATTGCAGATACAGATAAAAGATCAAAGAAGGAAAGGTCACATGGGGAATTTCTGCAGCTGTGCTACAGCTCAAATGAGTAGAGACAATGAAAACATCTTATAGAGGCCCTGTGCTATTTAAGACAACACTGTCATTAAAAACATTCTCAATTTTACTTTTATATTGCTCATGCTTATCGCTCTCTATCTCACTCGGGAAGTCTAAATGGTGAAGTCAGCATTGGCACATCCTCAATCTTTTAGAGTGGGGCAGGTTGCTGGCAGGAGAAGAAAGCAGCATTAATCTGCATTCAGGTCCATGGCCCAAACTCTAAAGTCACTTCCATTAAATGTGCTCAGGAATCAAGTTCCTGCAGTATCTCTGAGGGACTATTTATTGGTTTCTTCACATCCCTCATGTAAATGACTGCTGTGGTGATTCAATTAGTTCACTTGACTATTTTTTACAGTCTAAAGGCCACTCAGATGAGATAAGCCATGCACTGTTCATAAACACTCAAACTAAATGTATACAGTGAAATCTGACAGGATATGATGTTTGTGTTCTCTACTGCCACCCTGGCCAGGCTGCACTTGTAAAAGATTAGCCTTTATTTAAGCAGAGATTATATCTAAGTTAACCAACTACTGACAAGCAAGAATCTAGGCTCTTCATGCCATAAATTGATGTATTCTGTAAAATAAGCAATCCCAGATGAGGAAAGGAAAACCAAACCCACCTCCCTCGCTCTCTTACTCTCGTGCGAGTATGTCCTATTGTGTAATTGTTTCTAAATGCAACTATTTATTTCCACAGCTGGTAAATCACAGTTAATATTTATGATGTGCTGTTTTTATTTGCCTTTTTTAGCCAAAAATGACTGATTCTGTCGATGGAAACGTTTCTCAAATCTAAGCTGTCTTCTGAATTCCTGAGTAGCAGATGTCTGGTTGAAGTTAAATATCAGGATTCAAGGCATGTTTGCATTCCATTTTGTTTTGAAGCAAGTATGGGAAAAGAAACGCCTTGAGGATGTGAACGGTATGTGACAGTTCTCTGTGTGTAGGATTCTCTGGAACAAATGGTAGACTGTATACTGTATGTGTGCATTATCACAAATCATACTGTCAGGGTGTTTTTACCTGGAGGATGTTGAAGGATTTAAAGAGGGCGGGGACAGGAGAACACCTGCGGGCATTCACCAGGACAGTCAGTCCCAAAGCACTAACTTCCTTCCTGTGTGACAAATTAAGGTCACATGTTTTATGAAGAATGGGTAAATAAATCACACATACAATTGTGTTACTCTAAATACAAAAACTGCACAGGTTGATAAAAGTAGAAAGTACGTTGTCTAATACATTGCAGAGAAAACACCTACATTACTGATGTGAGACTAAAGGGTCTGGGGTCAGTAAGATTTTATTTGTATTTATTTTTTTATTCAATAAGGATGCATTACGTTGATCAAAAGTGCCTGTAAAAAATAAGTATTTTTATGCCAGCAAAAGATTTCTATTTCAAATAAATGCTGCTCTTTTGACATTTCTATTCATCAAAGAATCCTAAAAATGTATCATGAGCTCCACAAAAACATTAAGGAGTTTTCAAAATTGATAATAATAAGAAATGTTTCTTGAGCACCAAATTAGCATATTAGAATAAAGTATCATGTGACACTAGAGCAATGGCTGCTGATGAGGATTCAGCTATGCCATCACAAGAATAAATTACATTTTACTGTTAGAAAAATGACAATTAGAAAAGTAATTCTGCTGTAATATTTCACAACATTATTGTTTTTACTGTACTACAAACTTTTGAATTGCAGTGTGCGCCTTGATTTGTAGTAGAAATGTAGTTTACCTGAGTGTACTGAAGAAGTAGACCATGATCCGCATCAGCTCTCCACTATTGCAGTTCGGATTCAACCAGATAGTGTTTCTCATTGTCACTGTCACAAGGGCATGGCCTGATTTATCTCTTGTTCCTAAAATTTATTTTAAAAGATGAGCCTTTGGGTCAAATTGATGGAAGGACCACATTAATAGCATTAAAAGAAGATCCTCACCCGGCAGGCAGAGCACTCCAGAGCTCAGGACATCAGGATTGATGTCATAAGCCTCACTCTGGACAGGCTGGGTCTTCTGGGAGATGGGAGGCAGTGGTGGAGGAACTGCTGAGGGGTCTTCATTTTGGGTTTTAGCAGACAGGTGGGAAACAATGCTGTCTACTTCCTGACTGGATGCTGGAATATTAATAAAAATTAAAAAAAAAGGTAATTTCAACACAAACAACACACTTAAAATGTAAACACAGAAACCCTTCGCAAGTCAGTTTAAAATGTTGACTATAGTCAAGAATCTACTATCTGTTTTATCATTGTAGACAATAATACATCAAGTCTTTAGTAAGCCTACAGATATATTGATTTGATCAATGTGAGTTAGTCTTTACTGCAATGTTTGATTGCTCAGTAACAAAAATGGATTTAACTGAGACTGAAGATATACAGCACAGCTTATAAATGGCTGACTGATAACTATATTTGGCTGTAAACTTTAAAAAAAAAAAAACTAAATCTCTGGGACATGAAACACAAAGCTATTCAGACTCTGAAAACACTGAGGTCTTTTCACATGACAGATCTCTTTACAAAGCTAGTAGACCCACATTCTCTAATCCTCTATTAACAAACAGCAACGCAGAGATGGTTGAATGGAGTGTGAGCATTTGCCCAATCTGTAACATCATGCAACTCAGCCTTCAAATCACACAAGCACAAACATACTAGCTTATTTTAAGCATTCCAGGTATCATCCTGTGCATCGACCCATAGGGCAGCTTGGATCTCTGCCCCATATACCTGACAGCACGATAGGGCTCAGAGATAAATAGAGATCAGCTTCTGACAGTCATAAAACTAAAGTTTTGCTTCGCTACACTGCCACGCACTGCTGCTGCTGTGCAGAAAATAGATACTGAGATCAAAAACAGATGAGATGGAGTCCTGGGAATTCCAGGAGTCGTAAAACAGCTTGCACAAGGACAAGGAAAACAAGTATAAATTGCTCTGAAGCATAATCTGGCTGAGATTGCTATATTTCAGAAGGGATTTGAGCTGGAACAGCTGAAGTGAGCTTCTGAGGAAGGAAATCTAAACATAATGGAATGTACTTCTTCAGTTAAGTAAAAGCTACAATAAATTTGACAAATAAGAAAAAAAATCCACTTTTTACCCTCACTTTTTCTTTGTCTCCTTGTCTACCCAACATCCTCCTCGCCAAAGAATGCTCACATTGAGGAAGTCGAGCGTATGAGGCCCCTGAGGAGCTAAGTGCTACCCTAGACAGGGCAGAGCAGAAGAGGGTCTTGGCTTCACACTCTCTCACCACTGTCTGGAGTTCAGTCTGGCCATGGGCCATGTCCTCAGCCTTTATTCTTCATGCATTTCTTTTCCTTTCTATCTGATTTTCTTTTCTTTCTGATGTGGCTATGGACGCTGAATAGGGACAACTCTAAAATATGCTATTTATACTGAATATATTTCCATACGGCAGGCACATTCATTATTTTTTTATTGTAATAGAATGACTGCAATTACATGCTGCCCAATGAATGTGTGGACATGTGTCTGTTGTAAAGATCACACATCAGTTAATGCATGGTCTGGACAAGAAGTCACAAATCAAACATTGCTCACTTTGGGAAGTTTTATGAATATTATTCATGCTATCTAGTTCTTTAGTCAGTTTGTGATCGTATGTGTGTGTGTGTGTGTGTGTGTGTGTGTGCGCATGTTCCATCTGCCCAGCTCATCAACACTCTCTTTTACAGACTGGATTCTCATTAAAGTCTATAGTGCTTTTCAAGAGGTTTTATAGATCTTAGAGAAGCATTGTCCAAAGATAATTTTCCTTTTAGAACTAAAAATACACAAGCTAAATTCCCAGCAAACTGCTGACACTGAATATTAAAAGTTAACTTTTCAATTTCTAGTGAATCCTATTCACTTTAAACAGTGGATTAAAAGAAATATCACCTGAAATCCTCTGAAAAATTGATGCACGATGAAAAGAATAAATGAAAAAATAGTAGATAAGCTTTCTTCTTTGTGTGTATAGACACAACGCTGTACTAAAACTGAAAAAATGTTTAGGGTTTGTGAACCACCCACTAAGAGAGAAAGAATCAGATCTATCATAGTCAAACTACCACAACAAACACACCATCATTTCTTCTTTCTGCTGTTCTTGTCTTCAAAGCAGTGTAACCCCCACCCGTTCTCCATTATTTAAACACTCCATCTATAACCCTCAAACACACACACTTAAACATCCCCCTCCGCTTACCCCCTGCAGTTTCAGAGGTCCCACAGCAGGGATTGCGTTCAGGCCCACCCACCTCACCTCATCTCATATATCTTTCTTCACACCTGCAGCACACCTGAGCCAGGTGAGCACATCCTGGCAACCAAATCCTCTGGATGAAGAGGAAGAGGAGGAGGTGGGACACTTACAGCAACCTGTGCAGAAACTCACAATGTGGAGGGAGCTATGGTGCCCTGGACATGACATACTGGAGAAAAAATAATGATGTGGCCATGTATTAAGAATTCACTCCCACAACTTGTTAATTTGTTGTACTACTTAAATAATACACTTTAATATATTGTGGGAACTAATTAGTACAACATAGCCTTGCTTTACTTAAAGTCCCCATGAAATCAAAATTAAAGTTTTTTAGTATCAATATGTTAGTCTTAAGGTTATCTATAAGGCAGTGTGCTCCAAAACAGTGACAAAATGCGCATTTAAAAGATATAAGTATTCAAAGCTTGCAGTTCGTCACTTCCGCCAAAACGGCTCAACGATTGTTTTGACGTCACATCGTACTTCAGCTTCTCATCAAACTTTCTGTCCAATCAAATGCTCTCTAGAATCTGAAGCGCCTACCCCTACACTATAAAATAGACGCTGAAGCCGCGGCTGAAATTGGTCACTTGTCCACAGAATTAGTATTTTCTGTACAGTGAATGGCACGTAGAGCACTATATAGGGGACAAGGAACAATTAAAACAGTGTAAATATGCTTTCCATTGAGGAAAAAAAGAAGTCTGGTTTTGCGCTGTGTCAGGCTAACCACGCACCGCACACACTCTGCTCCGGTCCAGAGACACGATAGCACGAAGCGGATCACATGCGCAAGTCGGCGCAGACCACAAAATGTATAGGAGCTATTTGAATTCTACACAGAATGCTATATTTTATAGCAATATGGATGAGATTGTGGCTGGCATACCCTGTCAAATGAGGCTTTACAGAACTCAGCGGCTCTGAACGGCTGTAGCCCAAGCTGTGATATAAACAAACGCTATTGGCTATTTTAAAAAGGGGCGGGGCTGCTTGATATGTCCCGCCCTGTCTTCATGTTTCAGTTAAAATGGCATCAACACAGAGTAACGCTGCGTGTTTCTTAGCATTTCAGGGGACCTTTAAAATGAGGAACAAAAGAATAAGTTGTGGGAACAAACTTGCTATTTGTGAAAGGGGCATCATAAAAAGCAGATAAAATGCAATAGCAGCTCCTGATCACACAAAAACACTCTGCTCAACATATGTCTAAAAATAGCTTAATCTAAACAAAATCAGGATTGGGTTACTAAAGTACACAAAGCAGAAATCCTGCACATGACCCAGGCTTCTTTTCAGCTGTTTCCTTTAGCAGTTCAGATGTGAAACGGCGTCTATCTTGGATGGTGTTCAGTGGAATTAATGTGTGTCTAAATTTTAAAACAAACTGTCTAGAGGCCGGAATATGACCTGCTACGAAGCCAGTCCTTGTAGAGCGTCCAGTCTAAGTAAAACCAGAGCCTCCCACGCTTTTCTTTCAGCCTAAAGAGAAAAGGAGTTCTATCAGGCCATAGCACCGGCCATTTGAGAGCCATTTCTAACTTGTCAGAGGCCTGAATGTCGAAACGCTAAAGCTAGTCTGCTAATCTAGAGTAAATATACTAGGTGGACACGGCAATGGATGAATGATGAAAAAAATGACTCATAATGAACAACTGCTGCAAACCACAGAGACGCTTTGGGAATTCAAACACAATTAATGCGTGAAACACCATTAAATGAGCTAAAAGTGAATAAAAGTGGGGATTATAATGATCAAAATTAAAATATACTGATAAAATGTGAGGAAGAAGATAAAGCTGTGAAAGCAGGTTATGAATGGAGTGGATAAATAAAAAGAGAAGGAAGAGAAGCAGGTCCTTCTTCATCAGCAGAGAAAGTCTTTAGATGCATCTGAAGCAGATGCAAGCTTAGATGCATCTGTGAAGATGAAGAAACAGGGATGGAGGTAAAAGGGGAAATGGAGGGAAAAGAGTGAGAGGAGAAAAAAGCACGTGGATAAAGTAAAGGTGAGCGGGATGGACTTGGGTAAAGATGACTCTACCTTGCTCTTCCTGCTGATGGTAACGGGTCTCCATGTCTGCTTGTTGCTGATGCCCTGCTGGAGAGCCATTCACAGAGGAATTAACCTCATCCTCTTGCCTCTCCTCATTTTCCCCCTTTCTCTCCTCCTCCTCCTTTGTATTTTGCCCTTCTCCTTTGGTGGTAGGTGTGTCCTGAGTGTGCATGTGTCCATTTGTGTTGGGAACATCTGCGTCTGGATCAAGGACTTGATTGCATGCTGACTGGACTCTATTTTCAGAATAGCTGATCACTATGGCCTCTTGCTCACTCACAGTAATACCCTCGGTCTCCTCTTCCTCCACCCCTTTCTCTTCAACATCGGTTTGTTTCTTCTCATCTGTTCCTACAGAGGAGCTGCACTCCTCCTGAACTTGAACGTTGGAATCAGACTTGGGTGTGGCATCTACCAGATCTGTTTGAGCAGTCTCAACTTCCTCTGCCTTACAAACTGCTACTATATCATTCTCTGTCTTGCTTTCTGTCACTCCAATGCTTTTCTTTTCTACCGTTTCTTCCTCCTTACAAGATACATTTCCAGCTACTTCTCTTTCTGCATGTGCTTCTTTTGTCTGGAGTTTTACCTCAGTCTCATTGTTTCTGTCCTCGTGGGACTCTGTCCTCACCTGACCCTGTGAAATGAGTGTAACCAGATCCTCCTCAGGCACCGTGGTGACAGAGGCAAAAGCTACCTGTTTGCTTTGCGGAGCAGCCGAAACAGGCCCACTTTCTTCCTCTGCACTCAAACTATAATCACCATCAGATGCATTCTTGTCATGGCTACTGTTACTAAATGCTTGATGGTCTTCTTTTGTGGCAGAAAGATCATGCACTTGCTCAGGTGGTGTTTGGATGTGTTTGTGTATCTGACATGGGCTGTGCTCTGTTTGCTCAGTCTGTTTGTGTACACTGACAGTTAGAGGCTCAGAAACCAACACTTTGCAATTCTGCAAATCACAACAGCCTTCCAGGCCATGATCACCTCGGACCTGCTCAGATTCAGATACGACTTCTGCAGCAGGATCAAACACAACAAGTTCAATTTTAGCCGGAGAAACTTGTTCTAAGTTTTCCCTCTCTAAAGTACCAGATAACATTTCATTCTCTGGTTGTGATATACTAGTTACTTCGCTGTCTTGTTGCTCCACGTGAACTGTTTTGCTGTCTGTTTGTGATGTACTTAGTGGCATGCTGTACAGATGTGATGCAATGAGTGGTTTGCTTTCTGGTAAAGATATACTAACTAGTACACATTCTAGTTGTGATGTGTGGAATAGTTGGTTATCTGGTTGTGATGTGCTGACTAGACTGTTGTCTAGCTGAGATGTGCTGACTGGTTTGATGTCTGGTTGTGATGTCTTGATTGGCTCGATATCTAGTTGTGATGTGTTGACTGGTTTGCTCTCTGGTTGTGATGTGCTGACTAGTTTGTTATCTAATTGAGATGTGCTCACTGGTTTAATGTCCGTTTGTGATGTCTCGATTGGCTCATTGTCTAGTTCTAATGTGTTAACTGGTTTGCTGTCTAGTTGAGATAAACTTTCTTTTTTGTTGTCTAGTTCAGATGTGCTAACTAGTTTGCTGTCTAGTTGAGATATGCTTACTAGTTTATGGTCTGTTTGTGACGTCTTGACTGTCTCACTGACTAGCTGTGATGTGCTGACTGGTTTACTGTCTGGTTGTGAAGTGTTGACTAGTTTGCTGTCAAGTTGAGTAATGTTTAGTGGTTTAAGGTCTGGTTGAGATATGCTTACTGGTTCAATGTCTGGTTGTGAAGTCTTGACTAGCTCATTGACTAGCTGTGACATGCTGTCTGATTGTGATGTGCTAGCTAGACTGTCGTCTAGCTGACCTATGCTTACTGGTTCAACGTCTGGATGTGATGTCTTGACTGGCTCATTATCTAGTTGTGATGTGCTCACTAGATGGTTGTCTAGATGAGATGTGTTTTCAGGATTAACGTCTGGCTGTGATGTCCTGACTGGCTCACTGACTAGTTGTGCTGTGCCAACTGGTTTGCTGTCAAGTTCTGATGTGCTGACTAGTTCGTTGTCTTGCTGAGATGTGCTTACTGGTTTAACATCTGATTGTGGTGTCTTCACTGGCTCGTTGACTAGTTGTGACGTGTTGACTGGTTTACTGTCTGGTTGTAATGAGCTGACTAGATTGCTGTCTAGTTGTGATGTGTTGACTGGTTCACAGTCTGTTTGTGATATGTTACGTGTTGACGTATCAGAAAGTGGAGCAGTATCACAGTCAGAGTTTTGAGACATAAACTCTCTCTCAGACTCATGCTCAGACACACTGTCACAGGAGGCTGTACCTGCAGCACAGGTGCGCTCAGACCCATCCACCTGCTGTAGTTGACGCTCTGCCTCTGCAGGAGCAGTGGGGGTTAAAATCACAGGCTGGTAGGTATCACTCAGGTTTTCCTCAATCAGCATGGCGCACACCATGCTCTGTGAGCATGCGCCATTCTTCAAAAGACTCTGCTCTGGTTTGGCTTTAGGCTGAGTAGAAGCTGCAGTCTGTGGTTTATGTAGATTTCTGTAGTTCATGCTAATGGCTTGAGTGAGAGAGCCCTTCTGTGGGGAAAAGCGTGGCAAGGAGATATCAGCTAGCTCCACATACTCTCCCTCCGAATCCTCTGCCGTGCTGCTAGAGCTCTGTCCACTGCTATCTTTACTGAGCTCACTGAGAGCAGGGAGGAGCTTAACCCCCTTGCTCTGACAACCCATCTCCCCCGATTGGTCTGTGGAAGTGTCAATAAAAATCCTACATTGTATGTCCTCAGGGTTGTCTTCTTGATCTACATCCAAGTCCCTTTCCTCTCTGTTGGCAACTTCCTTGGCCACCCCTCTACTTTCAGCTTCTTCTGTAACTTTGGGGGGTCTGCTAATAAACTCCGGGTGAACAATATCCTCCCATGGTACCCTAAAAATATCATTATCCGCTGATAAAAGACAGTGTTCCAGAGCGGCTTTTCTGACCACACTCCTCTCCCGGTTGATGGAGTCCAGCCAATCCATGGTGAATAGAGAGGTGTATGCTAGCTCTGGCACGTCCAGCTCCTCCACATGCTGCCTGCTAGCTGCCAGACACTTCACCGTGATGCGTGGGGGACTTTTGGGCGATGGCGTCACCTGTAAGTAGAAGTCGCTGGGCCGTAACACACGCCAGTCCAAAGATGAGAGCTGAATTATGACCTTCTCATGGACACAGAGCGGCCAGCCCTCATGACGAAACAGGAAACCACAGTATGGGAACTGCAGAGAAAAGAGAGAGGGAATAATCAGTAAGGCTATCAATAATTGTTAATTTAACTGTTGATAAATTACATAGAAAGACTTGCTGGACACATTTCAGTTATCTTAAAAAATACATTCCAAATTTTAATATACTGCTATTAAAAAAAATCTAGCAAAGCAGAGTTAGAGGCAGGGTTCTGTCAATGGGTCATCCAGCTAAACTATTACATTTGGCACATATATTTTTCAGGCCTTTAAAACATGAAGATAAGTCATGGTGGCTATTTATTTTTTCTCTGTTTCCCATTCTAAGTGAACAAAGTGATATATGATAACAGGCTTGTCTCTCATGGGAAACTACTGGTAACAACCAATTGCCACAGTTGACTTTGGCTTGCTCAATGGGGATTTTAAGGAAAAATATGTATTGCAAAAAAGTAGAATATAGGCCTATGCAATAAAATTAATGCAACATTCTGCCACATTTACCACGACATATACCATGACATTTTATTAACGCAGCACAGGGAATAATAAAGATAAGATCACAGGGACTTAAAGTGGACAGGGATTTTGAGAGATTCTTTCTTGCTGAATCTGGATGCTTCTAGATTATTCAATGAGATAGTTTGCACAATAAGCCCCTTTATTGTAACTCAATTTCAGAGTGAGAGAGAGCCCTGTACTCACTCTGTACCCTGTTTCATTCATTTGAATGAATTCTGCTTGCAAAGTTCACTACAACAGAAGTGTACTGGGACACTAAAGAATTAGAAATAGCCTTGGAGTCCCGAAACAACTGCATAATTCAGTGGGTTTCTTCCTATATGCCTTGACAGTCATGTCACAGACTGTAATACTGACCCCCTCTGTGTAACTTGATGCAAACGTGCTTTCGGGTATCTCGGCGATGAAATGAATATTCTGCTTAAATTGACTACGGTAGGCTGAAAATGACCCGTTTCCTTTGAAAGGCAGAGTAGGGCCAGGGAGGAAGGAGGGTTGGGTGTCCTTGTGTCGAAGGTAAGGGGGGGTGAAAGGTCTTTTTATTCACAGACCTCTCATTTTAAGCTTCTGTTTCCCATTATTATATCCTCATTCACCTTGAAGCTGCAGCCCCCACCATGGAGGAAGATACCTGGAGATACTCCACTGACCCCAGGTGCAGCGAGCAGCCACTGTTCCCACAGGGTTCACGAGAGCATAAATGCACATTGACACACACACACATGCAAACACAAACTACAAAAACTGAGACTATAAAAGGGGGTATAAATAAAACGGTAGGGGTCCTATTAAAGGGTCTTTTTTCAGGTGCACACTGGAACCATTCAAGCTGTCCCCTGGCACTGGCTTTCAACTCATGAAAGATCACAGATATTCCTTAGAGTGAGTGTGCAGAGTAGGGATGATGGGTATTTCTTTTCTTTTTTTTTTTCTTTAATTTTCCCTTTTTTCCAAACAAATGCAGAAGAAAATGAAGCCCGGCTTTTGTTATTTCCAGATCCCCATCTATCCATCATTTGCTGTCCTCTCCTTGTCACTTGGAATCAAGTATGCTGTGCGTGTAGCATATGGGGGCATCACAAAGAAAACTGTAACTGAGGGACCAGCAGCTGAAGTCGAGTGTAAAGAACATGTGTGTGTCGACAGCTGTGTAGAGCATGTGAGTGTGTGTATCTGTACTGATCTGGCTGGGAAAGATCCCAGCGCTCTGCAGCGTTGATAGGACTTCTGGGGGCTTCTTCTCAAATAACCAAAACAAGAAGCACTAGCACAAACATTCAGGCCAACAGGCTTGCAGTGCCTTTTGTTTTAACATGCACATGTCTGTGTTCTGGGTACACCCTCATGATGACTAATGATGAGTGGGGGCTCAGCTAACAAAACATGACAGACAGAATAGGACATGACAAAACACAACCAGAGGCCGAAAGAGAAATCATGAACACAATAAGGTTGTAAATGTTACACTAAGATAAATGACAAAATGAGTTAAGCAATGAGTAAGAGAATTGAAAAGAATGAAAGGGAAATGTGTCACTCATGTATCCTGTTGAATACAAGTGAATGCATGTCTATTAATTTTATCAGGCTAGATTTGGGGTTTGCATTAGTTTAGATTTATTAATTTCTTCACTTTTTATTTCTGATATAATAAAAACATAACATATATAAGAAATAATAATGAATAAATGAACAAATAAATAAATAAAAAGAGATCTTTGATACTCACGCATGCATCCTGTTGAATGCTCTGTAGGATGTGTTTAGCGGGCACCAGGAAGTCAATGATGTAGCGTAGTCCGTCTCCACGGTATTTCGTCTCAACCACGTCTAACACCTGGCATAGCACGGTGGCCGCGGTGGCTTCAAATGGAGGGTAGAGAGCGGAGAGCGTGCTCTGAATGCAGTTGTCCAGAGATTCAGAGTCCTGTAGAGAAACATACAAATAATCAGAGGAAGAAAAAAACTTTCTTTACAACTATATCTCAACAGTATTGACATAAATACAACAACATTTTTTGTTTCTAATACGAACAATGAGAATTCAAGATGACCTCAGTTAGGCTATGGATCATCCTACATCCTATGAAATGCCATGTACTGTCCATCAAACTAGTAAGATGGTATTAAGTCCAACACAGGCACACAGATAGACACACTCTCAGGAAGTGAATCACCCAAGCCTGGCCTTGTCTGTCAAAACCTAGACCAAGCTTTTCTTCTACCATGTCCACACGTGTCCTGAAACAGCTGATCAGTGTCCCTGGTGGTCTCCATCATAAGCTTTCCCATCTGAGAAGTTTAGAGAAGAAAAGCGACTGGTGGTGAAACCTGACTCTTGAAGCCAGTGCAGGGAGCAACCAATACGCTGCTAAAAATAACAGCTGAATTTTAAGAAATAGGCCTCTAGACTAACTTTACTGTGTCTATTTGCTCTTTGCTCATAAGCATGATCTTCTTCTCTGTCATTCACAATTGTGTTGTTGAGCTTGTAGTTTAGTCAGTGACTGGTTAATGTCCATTAAAAATTTAATTAATTGAGCTTATCGACTGACAGCTGATTAATCAATATCAGCATAAATGCAAGCATTAATAATGCAAGGAGATGGTAAAAAATGTCTGTACAGCCCATACAACTTTTGTACTGCATGTCATTTCACATCTGCAACACAAACATGCATCACTGGCTTTCTTGAATAAATGAAGCGGGCTCAACGTAATCAATGTTGGAGTGTTTCTTTGTAAATAAAGATTACGTTCACTGCAAATACTATAATTGTATCTCATCAGTCTCCCACTATCATCTCAACCAACAATCATGTTAGTACTCGCCAGGCTAGCATGCAGGTAAATTCACCTGAAATCTCAGTGTGGCCGTATGTTATGCATCGGATTCTCACTGGGTATTATTAACCGGAATATTTCACAATCCACAATGTTACGTTGAAGAAAAGGTAATTAAGAGACAATGAATTAAGTGATAGTAAATACATTTATAACTCTCACCATGTGGGCCCATCTCAACTACCTCTATTGGTCTCTTCATAACACATAACTGTGTTATTGAATTATTTCCTTAATTACTAATTTCCAGTAGATTATCAATAAACTCATTGATCTTACTGACTGAATGCCACCCAAACCACACAACTGCCCTGAAAGAAACTCTACGCAACTAACATCCTCATGATGCATTACTTACAGTACCACTTAGGGCCTCACAAAACTACTGGGGTTACTAAAGCTCAAAAGTACAGTCTAGCATATCCAGTGACTGAGGCATGTCAGGCAGGAGAGATGGATCACTTTAGGCACCACTTTAGAGACCCTTCTCTGTGTGATCACCTATATATGCACACATGTGTAGATAGTAATCTGGGGTAAGACCGTACCGATACAAGATAAGGGTAAAAAAAAAAACGTAAAAAAGTAACAAAAAACCAAAAAGTAAATGTGAAGATGTTTATGTTGAGAGTAAGAAAGATAAAGAACGTGGGAATGAACAAACTGAAAAACAACATGACACAGCTGTGAGCTAAGCAGACACACAGGTGCACTGTGGGTAAATATTGTAATTCTACTAGCATTAAACAGAAGATGAGAGATTAAAGATGTCATGTGACTACACTTTATGATTAAAGTCAAAAGCTGGTTAGTAGAAGCACCACATCTTACAATCTACCTGCTGCTTCTGTTAGGGTTTGTCTACAGTTTGCATAATTAGCATTTAAAAAAAATAAAAGTCTATGGCAGTTGTTCTCAAACAACCAGGAGTGGCCTAATAATAAGAATAAGCCTTCATAAGTCTTTAATAATATAATAATATTCAAATTGTTAAAGTGACAATATCTTAAATGAAAATTATATTTAAAGAAGACTAAAAATAAAGATGTGCAATACATTGATGAAAAGCCCTCATATTTTTTTGTTTTTGTTTTATTACAACAGAAGTACCAGAGAAACATATCGGCTCAGATAATAGGACCTTCGATTTTGTCCTGGACAATGCCTGGAAGCCAAAATGGTTGAGAATCACTGCTCTGTGGTACGTCCCCATTTATATAGACAAGTAAATGTCTTCATTTACAACGACCGTGCTGTGCCATACTGTTATCAGTGCTGTAACTCAGTCAGCCTGGGAACTGAGATCCCCCACACACATTTCAACCATCTGAAATAACACAAAGAGGATGAAAGTGTGATCATTCTTTGACTCATCTCGAAGCTCAAATCTGCACGAGTGTTTTATGCTGGTTTCATACACTGATCCATATCTGGAGCTATAAGAACACACATTGGTCTATCTAGTCAGGTTTCTCCAGCTCTGAAAACATTCTTAAATACTGTGGCATTGATGCATTAGATTCATTAGAAGGACAAACTCCATTTGACCAACTCATTTTACATTACACAAATCTACATTCCAGAATCTGTGTTGTTTGAACTGGAAGTTCAGCTGATATTTACCAGGTCTAAACATCATCCGCATGCCTGAATGTTCTTCATCAACATCAGTCATTTCAGATATATGAGCCACTTCTTGTACAGAATACATTCTAACAGCCCTCTTCAAGAGTAAATGAATTCCAGGTTGAGGGATCTTCATTGGTTTTTAATGTATGTTCAGATTCAGCTAAACTCTTATATATAAAGACTCTTTATTGGGATCAACATTTCAGTTTTTTTCAATTGCACAAAACGCTCTTTAGATTATTAAAATGTTCTTCACACTAAGAAAAAAAAGATTATTTTAATGGGAAGAAACCAGGAGTTCTGAAAAACCAAGGCGTTCTAAACGTATTATGTTCATTGTTATTTAAGAATTTGAGATCAGTGGAAGTCTTTTTTTTTTACAGTTTGGCAGCAGGACAGCCTTCAAAAGCAAGAGACAGAGGGCTTTTCCTCTCAAACAGTTCCGACCGAGGTGCCAAGAAGTCATCAATCAAAAAGCAGGGTCTGGAGCTTGGGGAAAAGCTCTCAAGGCCCACAAAACCCTGCAGCCTCTCTCTGCTGAATAATGTATAACATCATTAGGATCCCCTTTTAAACCCGAACAGTAACACACACCACCCAACATCGTGAGCAATCGCAATATCATTTTTTCAAGAGCCGTCACTCTAGTTAAACTCATGCGTGGCACGGCCTGACAAAAAAGTGTTGATTAGAGGAGGCTGTGTTCATGTACTCGTCATGACTAATGCTCATTTATGAGTCTGACATTGCCTGTAGTGTGTTGACTAAGGAAGGAAGGGGAATCAATGCAGACTTCCTGTCTCAAACTGTGTAAAAGCAAACATTTCCAAGAGAAAGTCAAATATTCCACATTCCTTCTCCATTTTACCTTTTAAAGGTAAGAAACAGCAGCTTAGGCTTTTCCTCTGTGAGCTGAATGGGAGACCCTAAGAAGGGCCCATTCTGAGAGAGGAGAGGGATTTACTGTTAGTCTGCAGCAGACGGCTTAATTTTCTCCAGATCTGAATGGCCACACAAGCCGCTCATTCCTCTCCCCTTTTTTATCACTCATCTTGGTCTTTTCTCTCAGGCATTAGTGAGACAAGTTGGTGAGATTTGGGTCTACAATGGTATCATTCTGCAGAGCTCCGTAGTCATGCCTACAGGATAAACACTGTGCCTCATAAGCTTGTGTGAGTGTGCTGTACCACACTTTGTCAGGCAGATATTCTGTGGTTTTCTGAGTGTTTGTGGTTGGACTTGTTCTTCATTACACTGAGAATCTGACAGAAAGTCTTTTAGCATTTTCTGCAGTGATTCTGGGACAAAACGGTCGTAATTCAGTGGAATAGTTTGGGGTCAGTACGACTTTTTTTAAATCCATATTTTAATTCAGCAATGATGCATTACATTTTTTAACTTTCTATTAATTAACGATTCCTGAAAAAAAGTATCACCGTTTCCACAAGAACATTAAGCAGCACAACTATTGTCAACTTTGACAATAATAAGAAATGGTTAGGACAGTATCAAATCTTGGCATACATGCTGAATTGAACCATTTCCCAGAATGTGACAAAGCATCTAATGGTGGCTGTCTGTGTCTAGGGATGTTATTAGGAGGAGTGTTATTTATGGCATGGGCTCTTTTCACTAATGATAATCATGACATGAGAGTGCACGCATACGGCTTTGTTAAATCAAGACTGTCCCCTTTTAAGATGGCAGCTTGGCCTTTGGCTGCACAATATTAGATTACTTAAAGCATCTCTATGGGTCACACTCTTACTGGTGAATAATCAAATCAATTGCATCTGTCCCGAGGGAACAGTGAATCCCTCTTTTGACTGTTTAAGCCTTACAGAACAACATTTTAAGGAAATGAAAGCACAAAAATGTTTGAAAATTAGTGATGTGGAACACAATCTAGGTTTACATGTGCAGTTGTAATCGAGCTACAATGGGTTTTTGCATAGTTGAGCAGCAGCCTTCTTCCGTCTATTCAAGTATAGGAAAAAATTTGTAACTGAATATTTGAAGGATTGCAATTAAACTTTTTAAAAGTGCATTTAAACCTACATACTGTGCTTGTGTACAATAATGAGGTACTGCATAGCGTAGTGATTGGATAGATGATAGGAATGTGAGATGTTCAGACTTCTTAAAAACTGCCATCTGACGAAGAAGGACAAGATGGAATAACGTAACTAGAGAGATAATATAATCCATTAAAAATGTCGGCCAATTTGAATGAGTTGGATAAAAGCGACCTTGTTTTTTCAAGTGCATTTGTGTCAAACTGCAGCTGAGCTCTAACAGATGTGCAAGGTAACAAGAGACATGGTCAACTATTGGCGCTTTTCCACTGCGTGGTACGACTCGGTTCGGCACGGCTCAGTACAGCACGGCAGGGTTCGGCTCAGCACGGTTTGCGTTTCCACTGCAGTTCAGTACCGCTTTAGAGTGGGCGGGATT